AGCAGATAAGCACATCTCATGTCATCAAAGATCAGATCAGCGCACCCCATCTCCCTTACTGCGGCGCGTCCTGGCCCGGTCACTGAAACAAACACTTGATGTACGTGTGCTCAAGCTATAGCAGACAAACAGCAGCTTCTTGAAATCGATTTGTGAAACCGGAGGACCCTTATTCGCCAGCACATGGTTTCAATGGATGTGTCTGCTCGAAGAGCTTCTGCAACATACCATGTGCCCCCTTTGCACCTACGGACTAGGTGTTCGCGACTGGTGGATTAGTGGGGAGGGGTCTGTTTTGGCACGTTGCCGCAGAGGGCAGAAGCCGCGGCTTACGGACCGACAGCACGCGATTGCATAACGGCACATGCCACAGCGCAGCGCCCCACGGCGGGGTCGTCACGACCCGATGAGCCACCGGCGGCGTTGTGAATGAACACCTGTTTGCGAACAGTCAAAGGTTTTATATAGATCGTTCTTAGCGCGTAACGCTCTATTCATCTGTCTCCGGTTGTGCCTCGGTGTATTGACCAGTCCCCGTCACTGGAAGCGCGGGTGTCTCCTTTTTTGCTGCCCCTCCCCCTCCCCCACTTTGAGACCCAAGACAAATCCGGGGAAATATAGTTTTTTCCCCACACTAAGAGGGAAGATTTAGCTATTTCCCCTGATCAGCCCGCTCCCAACCTTGTGTCATGAAAGTACGCCTCTGACCGCAAGCAAGCATAACATGCACCAAGCCTGGTCCCCGTGTGGAATGGTGACGTCCGTGCGTGACCGGACTATACACAAGTTGACGACGCCGAGACGGCGGTGCGGCCAGCCATGACTGCCTTACATTCGCGACCCCTGCGAACTGCTCGACAGCTGCCGCTGCCGCACCAGCAGCCCGCGCCGCGTGGGCGCCCCTCACCTCCGCGGCCTGCTGGAAGCTGCGGACCTGCCGCTGCGCCGAGTTGCACAGCATGCCCACGTCCATCTTGGGGTCCATCATCTCGATCGCGGACATGGCGTCGAACAGGCCGAACATCTCGTCATGCACCAGCTCCCCCAGCTTCAGATCTGGGCAAACACAGAAAATGGAAGTTAACAAAACCACTTTTTCGACCATCATGCACAAAATAATCTTGCAAAGTCACTCACTGTTGCTCAATCAGCATGATGCATTGGAAAATTCGAGCACCCAGAAATTCTAAAATGCCACTGATCTGTTAGACACATTGGAGTTAAGTATCCTACCCCTGACTGTGAACACAGCACTGTCTGGTATCAAAATCCAAACAATGCTCCAATGCAAGCACTGTGCAACAAATAAATATACATTTTCATATTTTGTTGTCTTTATCCTAGCATCCACAATTTGTGATACCTTTGTCAAGCTCTGGTCATAACCACAGCACAGAAGTCACACATCTTTGCAGGCATCAAATAAAATCATGTGTACCTTTGCATGCATCAAAGAAGTTTTCAGTGATCTCTGACCAGTTGTATTCCACCTCTGGCTCTGGGGGCGCTGATGGCTCCAAGTCCATAGTTGCAGGTCTGAAATGGAACAGACAATGTAAACAAGCACAATGCATATAAGCCTGTTATGGAGTAGCAGTGACTACATTTGGGTCCCCTAGTGTCAGGGCCCAAGGCATGATCATAATCCCGGCCTGAGTCTCCATATCACAGCACAAAGCTTTAGCCACTAAACCAATTCCTTTCAAATACAATGTTTGTTCAACACAGCATGGATTTGATGAATGGTGTTAGACAGCACCATGTAGCAGTGAGAGGCATTGAGCAGGATTAATCATACTTTCTCAAAGTTCCAACAGACAGGAAAGCTTTACAGAAATCAATTTGGAAATAATGACTTTTAAGGAAACAGGTTTTGGGCATAGCATGACTTATAAAAAGAAAGCACACAAATTTAAAAAGCATACCATGCAACACAGATCAAACTTGATAATGACACACAAATGTGAACACACCTTGCCTATACTAAAAGATCATGAGCAGGGATAATTTGTCATGGGTATTCAATGTACTCCTCCTAGCACATTTTATCATATATGCCATGATAATCACTTTTTTACTAAAATGATCAATGTTTAGATCTTTATATATATATATATATATATATATATATATATATGTATGTATGTATGTATGTATATATATATATGCATGTGTGTGTGTGTGTGTGCATGTGTGTGTGCATGTGTGCATGCATGTGTGTTGAACTGTGTGACTAAGAGCTTGAGTACATAAGAGCAAACACCTCATCCCACACGTCTGACCCGTTTTCATGCTGAAACTCCGGCACCTTTTGATATTTGTGAACTCACTGGAATTAGTAATCATGGGAAGTATACATGAAATATCCCAGCATTAATCAGATGAAATCATGTAAAATGGGTTACCAGACAAAAATGTCTTTATAATGCTACTCAGGAATGAATCATTCCTTAGTGCAGGGTTGCATAATGCTGACATGAAAGATATGATTTGTTATCTTGCACACATTTGAAAATATTAATACATTTAGCAGAATGGCCAGCATGGTAAAAAAGAACTGATGCTAATTTAGACCATCCTACTCCAAATGTTGCTATCATTTCAAGCACAGCAAAGAAGCTACATAAGTATAATCTTCAAACAGAAGATTCTTAGTTGATTTGAAAAGCATATATTTTTTCAAGAGCCATGGTAAAATTATTCCCCCAAGAATTTTGGCAGGAATAAAATGGTGTCAGACAGCACCAATTATTTCTGCCATTTTTAGGATAGAGAACAGCAAAAAAGACCTGGAATTGGACAAAAACAATCCCTTTTTTAATTATCTCCATTTAGGAAAGTACTCTTACTCTGCTGTGCTAGTGACACTTCTCCTTGACATCTGTTATTTGATAACAAAATGAGCTTGGGGACTACTACATTGTCTCCATACCACAAAAAAACATGTTAGCAAGTGAAGCAGATCTGATGTAGAAGCAATATTTGAGCAACAATTGTAGTATATGCACAAAAGAGCTCACATAGTGAATAATGGTTGACACCATTTTCAGAGCATGGACAGGAAATGTTCCCAGAAATGATAATGCTGTTAAGTTTGTTTCAAGCAAAAATATTTTCAAAACAGCCTGTAAAGCAAAAGCTGCTAGAAAATGAAACGAATTTTAGCCAGGCTACATTAAGTATACTGCACTCCAGCTTCACAGCACCATCTTTTGTGGGCATCCAGCACAGTGGGTGATTTTTTCAGACTGATGCTGCTTCATGTATAACTGTGGCCTGACAGAAGCTTGAAATGTTCAAAATGTACATGAAGTTCCAAAGATTTTAGCATTCTTGATATGATGATATCCTCTTTAGACTTCATCATCCTCCAATTTGGGGAGTCAAACGAAGAACGGAACAATGTGAAGGTCACATTACGCTTTATGGTTTTAGATGCAAGCGGAACAGCGCACTCCAACGACCATGTAGCATTTTTCTCAAGCTGACAGCTGTGTATTAAGCAAACGCCAAACTTAAGTGACCTAAGAGGACGTACCGTGGCATCCCCACAATACATGAACGTCACTCCACAATTTACCATCAGGCGATGGGGCACCACCTACGCCTCCTCTCCTCCTACGCTTGGCGCTGGCTTGGCGCACGGGCAATCACGTTTGCGAATGTGCGCCGAAAACATCTACAAAGCTTTCGCGATCGCCCGACACGAAACAGGCAAATTAGAACCCATCGCGTCACCTTTGCTTCAGAAACTCAAAAAAAGCAATCGCGATCAACACCATGCGCTGTTCACGCACCTGTTCAGAGAAAAAGGTATTATTTTGAGCTCAGAACCATAAAAATTTAAACTTACACATTTCTGCCTTTTGAGTACCACCAGTCTCACATCAGCTTTCAGCGTGCGGGCCTAGAGGCCTGGGGCTGACTGACCTTTTCACTTCGGACCAATCGGAGAAGACAGCCTGTTAATCCTCCGAATTCCCCCGAAATATTCCTCGGTGCTTGGGTTGAGCAAGCACGATGGGCAAATCACATCCAGGCGCAGGGGGACGTGGGCGCGAGAGACAGTCCCCCCCCCCCATTTCAAGCGTCAGTCGAAGATTCCTGCGTGCTGCCCCTGTCTATTGGAAAAATAGCTGAATTTGAATTGCGATGTTTTCTATTGCGTGGATTCGATGACCCCAGCGCGGGTGGATGGAGTGAGGAACAAATCTGCATACACCTGCTGTATGACCATACCGTGTTACTGCCAGCAGCTAAACTCCTGGGTGGAAAATACCCCCACATGTTGCGTGGCACGGCGGATAAGGCCATTATATTTCATTGAGGAAGCATACAACATTTGCGATTTGGAATAGAAGTGATTTGGCCGCTGTCATGCGTGCTGTAACACATTTTCTACCCATCGATGTTCAGAATAATACGGTTACATCACTGACTGTGCCCACAGCAAAAACGAAACTACGTCTCGAGATCTGGACAAGAAACAATTTATATAAAAAGTACCAGCACGATATTCAGATATTTTGAGAAAAGTTGACACGGCTGCTCCCACAACTTACATAACACATGTCGCATCCATGACTATACTGCGCGTGTGGTGATATCACCGGCGGTGCCATCAACAAACGAAACTTCTGAGTTCCTGACACACACTGATTCATGTTCGAAGTACCAGCACGAGTCAAATCTGACCCACTCTTTTCGGCACCAGCCGTGAACTAACAATATCCGACAACACTAGGACACACGCCAAACCGCCGTCCAGACAGCACTGGCCCACCCCGGCCCGGCATGGCACCGAGTCCGGGAAGTGTCATAAATCAACCAGTGAGGGGCAACAGCGGACAGCCCTCACTCCCATCGGCGTCCGAGGAGTCGGCACACGCGTGACGGACATCGCCTCCTCCTGCGAGGAGGCCGCGGCAGGCAGTCGCAAACGGACAGCATGATTCCATGCAGCACAAGCGGCAGATCACGCAGAGCGCGGCGTGCCTCGGTCATTGATCAGGGGCCGGCTCCCATCCCTCCCGCCGCCGCTTGGCTGTTCTGGGCGCAGTGTCACCCGCTCTCTTCCGGCCGCCCGCCGTGGACGGCGCCGCGGACCCCTCCCCGTCGTCGTCCAACAGGTCGCCGAACATGTGGTCCACAATGTGACAGTGGCCGTCGCCGTCGCCGTCGGACTGCGCGGCGTCCAGGTCCCGCAGCTCGGCCGGCGGCTGGAACGACAGCAGCGCTGGCCAGAAGAACAGCGACACGAAGCGGGCGACCAGCAGGTTCCAGGCGGCCGCGTCCGAGTCGGTCGGCGGCGGGCCTGCCTGTTCCCCGTCGGCCGCGTTCGGCCGCGCAGCGAGCGGCGCCTTACTGATGGACATCTGGACCAGGTTCGGGATGCGCTGCATGAGCCGGGCGGCCAGCGCCGACGGGTCGCTCGTCTCCTCGACCGGCAGGACCACGGTGTGGACGTACGGCGCCGCTCCGGGCGCCTGCTGCGTCAGCCGCACGTGTGCCAGCCGGTCGCGGTGCCGCGTCAGCTCAGTCGACTGCAGCCAGGGTGTGACGCTCTCAGCCCCAGCGCCGCCGCCGCCGCCGCCAGACATCGCATCGTCCGCCCACTGCGCCGCGAACTGGTTGAAGTATTTGCCCTCGAGTGACCGCTGGGGTCCCGGCTTGACAGCCAGCCCCTCGAGCCGCGCCCGCTGCAGCAGCAGGCTGCGGAACATGGAGGCGCTGGCATGCGTGGGCGGCATTAGCGGCATCTGGCGCCAGCTGAACTCGGGCTGGCCCACTGCGTGCAGCTCCGGCTGCCCCGCCGCCGGCTCCGTCTCGGTCGCCGCTGCTGGCCCCGCCTCGACCGCCGCCGCCCAGTGACGCAGCATGGCCGCGTCGACGCCGTCGACGGGCGCGCCGGCGTCGGCGCACGCGCGCAGCTGCGCCGCGTCCGGCCGGCGCAGGCACCAGGCGCGCGCCGTGCGCGCCGCGCTCGCCGCGTTCAGCGCCGCGCTCGGGGTGGGCTTCGTCTTGTGCGGGTGGCGGGCCTCACAGTCGATGAGGTCGGCCAGCTGCTCACTGCAGCGGTCCATCTCAAGCTGCTTCTTGATGGCAGCTGTTCGGACGGCGTGCATCCTGGGCCTCCAGGCGGGTCTGCCGGGGCGGCGCGCGCTCGCCGTCAGGAAGCCGCGCGCGGCCCGTACGCGTGCGTCCTGGTCGCCGTCCGCCGGCATGTAGGGCGCCATTCGGCGCTCCAGATTCTTCCGCAGACCCTCGTAGTAGCCGACAATGTGCATGTTGGGCGGCTCGGCCAGGCTGCCGGTGGCCGGAAGCGCGCCCCGCGACAGGAAGGCGCGCTGGATTTGCCGGAACCGGGTGCGACAGAGCATGCCGTTGCGGCCCGAGCCCAGCTCGCGCGCCGCGGCAGCCCACTGCGGCCCGTTCTCGCGCACGAAGCGGATCAGCCGCTCCTCCTCATCGCGCGTCCACTTGACGCGTGTGAGGCCGGGCTTGAGACGCGTTTCGTAGCGGGAGTAGACCTGGCGCGCCGAGCGGCCCGGCACGAGGGCAGCCACGTGCTGCCAGTCGGAGATGCCGGCCCACTCCACGGCGGCCAGGATGCGCAGGTCCTCCATCTCCGAGAAGCGGGTACGCAGCACGCGCGGCGCCACAGCGAGGTAGCGCCCGGAGCATTGCGAGGCGGTGCGATCCTTCATCTGCGCGGCCACGGCCGTCCACGATATGAAGTTGCCGACGCGCACCGTCTCCACGATGCGCAGCAGCCGTTTCGTATCGGCTTGGTTCCAGTAGTTGCGCTGGACGCGGCTGAGCGCCGTGGCGTAGCGCTGGAACACCTGGAACGGCGTGCGGCCGGTGTCCATCACCTGCGCGGCGATCGCCCACGGGTTGACCGTCCTGTCCTCGGCCGCCGCCCGCACCTGCCTGTCCTCAGCCGGGGTCCACTCGGCGTGGCTGATGGTGGGACGCACGAAGTTGCGCCACTGCAGCCGGCACTCGGTGGGCGAGCGCTGGCCGGCGAAGTCGCTCTGCGAGATGCGCAGCCAGTCGTAGTCGTCCTGCTTCCGCGCCACCACCAGGTCCAGCTCGGGCGTATCCTCGGCCTGGCGGACGGCGCGCTCGGCGTCGACCAGCAGGTCGCGCAGCGCCTCCACCCGGCGCTGGTCAAGGTTGGGCTGCTCCGCCCGCTCGCGCAGCCGATCGTGGATCATCGCCACCTTATGCTGCGCGGCAGCGACGTTCTGGCGGCGCGCGTCGTCCCGCACCGCTTTGAAGAGCAGTTCGCGCTCCGACTGCAGCCAGGGACGCGAGACGCGCAGCGACTCGAACTCACCCCGCCTCGTCTTCGCCACCGTGTCGGCGTTCGGCTGCGGCCCGAAGCCTTGCGCGTCGCAGAAGTACTTGCTGACGAACACACGCCACTTGAAGGTGTATCGTGAGGGACCGCCGCCGGGTCGCGCGGAAGACGGCGCCGTCCGCTCGTTCCTCAACTGGACCACCAGTTCGCGCTGGCGGCGGCGGTTCTCACTCAGCAACCGCTGCAGCTCGCCCAGGTTCTCGTCCACCACCTCCTGATAGGCGGTGTTCAATGCCAGACAGTTCTCTAGGTTGACGGGGATGTCCGACCCGATAAAGTCGTCGTCGAGGAAGTCCTCCTGCGAGAGAATGTCGTCACCAAGTCCGGACGAGAGGCGCGGTGCGGCGGACGCCAGCGACGGCCGGCTGCCGCCGCCGCCGTCGCCCGGGGCCCGCCCCTCCGTCGACGCTAGCGACGGGGCCCGCCCCTCCGTCGACGCTAGCGACGGGGCCGACGGGCGCGAGGCCGTCCCCGGGCCGGACGGAGCGGGCACGGGCGCATCCGGCTCAGCCGGCGACGCGGCCAGCACCCGCGACAGCTTGTTGATGTCGCCCTGCAGCCCCGACGGCCCCGCGTCGCCCTTCGTGTCCGCGTCCGGCGGCGCCGCGGCGACGCTCCAATCCAGTTCTAATGAGTCGTACACGTCGTCCTGGTCATCCGCTTCCGAGTCGCCGGCGGCTAGCACCTGCGACAGCTTGTCGATGTCGCCTTGCAACTGCGACGGCCGATCCCCGGCGTCCCAGCTCGAGTATGGTGGTTCTTTACCTGCATGGTCTTCATCCTCGGGCGATCCCACTCCGTCACTTTGGTTCGGTTCGCCAATCTGCCAGTCTGGAACAGGTCTCCACTGCGGCGCCTTGCGTGGCTTTTCAAGGTCAATGCTCCAGTCCACCTGCGGTGGTTCTCCATTCAGGAAGCCGTCCGCCTCCTCCGACGGTCCTCTTAGGCTATCGTTATGCAGGTGATCGGACTCTGAACCCATTACAGCCAGAGGGTCAAGCATCTGCTGTCCAGCACCTCCTCCCGACCCCGGTGACTTTTCATCATCATTGTAGTCTTCTTCAGTAATTGCGTGGCGACCATCGCTATCAAAATGTTCACGCTCCACAGCTGTTGACATTAACGCATTCGTGGCCTTGCTGGCGCTCGCTTGCAGCTTTGGTGCTTCATTTCTTTCGATGCAGTCCAGCTGTGAGATTTTACCTCCTACTGCAGCATATAGCTGTCCTGGTTTGGAATCTACGGAAACTTGCGCCTTCAAAGACTGTTCGGTATCTGCTCGCGCTTCACGTGGCTCATCATTACTGACGCAGTCTTCACCCGAGACTCCCCCTTCATTGGACGTTGGCTCTTCAGAGCTTGGTTCTGGTGAAGCCAGTACATTCGAAAGCTTGTCAATGTCTGCTTGCAGCTCCAGCAGTCTTTCGCCCGATGTGACCTCAGTCTGAGCCTGAGTCTCAGAGGGCTGATTGGCAACATGCCTATGTAACTGTGATGACTCATCTTGTAGGCCGTGATCCAGCTCCTCAGAGCCTTCATCTGGTGTGGCAAGAATCTGTGAGAGCTTGTCAATGTCGCTTTGCAGCTCATCAGATGTTGTCTTGGTCTCCATTACTTCTTATGGCATGATCTGAAAAATACAACCCAGTATAAATGCTTTAAAGTTCCAATATATATGATATTTCTGGCTTGAACATTGCATATGTGGTGCATTACCAAATGTCTGACTTGCACAGATGTCTTCAGAAAATAATATAGAAATGATCCTGAAGCATTGTAACAAACCAAAACTAAAATCTCAATATTTTTCTGAAAGTAAGCATTAATCATTCCTTTTGCTTACCCGTCACTCCATAAAGCATGCTACTCATGTCAAGAAGCATGCCCCTTATTTTTCTGACATGCTAAGTCAAAAGTCATAGGCTACATACAGGCATGTTGATGATATGCTTTACTCATCCATCACAGCATTATATTTTTGTTAGTAATTGATCTGTTAAAAGATATAAGCTGAATAATTTTAACACAGTACTGCCAACACAGTAGGCCATGCCTGTCAGGGACAAAGAGGAAGCCCAAAAGCAACTTGAACTAACTGCCATGGGTTGGTGCATTGGCAGGTGTTCCCCATGTGCTCTAATCCACCCAACCAATGGGATGGACAAATATCTATTTGCATGCTTCAGATTTTATACACTTAAGGCCTGAGGTTTTCACTTAATTTCCAGTGGGTTCACACATGGGGGAGATGCCTGGGAGCAGTGAATTTGGCACACTTATTGCTTAGCCAAGTGTTGAAAAGCTAATTCTCATGAATGTGATCTGGCATCCCAGCCCTCAGCCATCAGAGCTTTTGATATCTTGCTGGGGCACAGGTAGGGTAAAATTTTGAACCTGGGCAAGTTATAAAAATATTTGGCAGATATCGTCAAATTGGAGTATTAGGACATCATAAGATGTTTTATAGCATGCACAACTGGCAACACCACAGAAATAACTAAATCTGATAGAATATTACATTTTGGGGTAAGGTTGACAAAGCATGGACCAAGTGCACCAGACTGCCAGCTAATTTGGGACACAATTTTACCTGCCCCAAACATCTTGTTAGTGTGCCTGCCATCACTTACAGACTGGCTGACACCTGTCACACCTCCTGTTCTGTGTTTCACTTATGAGTTCAGGTGGTTCAAAGCAGATACTGTTTTTTTGTATTTTGCCATTGGCATTCTACAGGATGTTTATTGACTAACAATACACCTCAAACCTGTCACTGTCAATTGTTACAACATTGTCACTTCTCAGCGATGTTAGTGAAACAATCATTGGCTGTGTACAAACTCTTTACACACCCATCTAATCTGACCTTTCATTGCAGTTATAACATAATTTTATGGCATACTTTTAGTGAATACTTATCTAGAAATATGATGGGTAAATGCCAAAATTATACTGTCAATGCTTCCTAACAAAGCCCTGGCCTGGCCTCATGAGAATGAAAGGACAGTGAACCCATCTTCCAAGTGCAGGCCATACTTGGGGGAAGGATATAGGGTAGGGGGCATACAACACACAGCCAACACTGCGTGTACAGACTGTGCCCTTAACCTGTACTCTCCTGACCTACCCACCATTGATTCAACAATGCATGTAGCTGTTGATGAAGGTACCTCATATGGTTAATGGTAACATATGGTGTGTGCCTCATATGGTGTGCGTATCACAGAACAAAACAACGTATTGCGCACCAAACCCAGCGCCTCACGGCGCGAAACCTCACGTACCTGAATGTACTTCAGCGCCCCACTGCCTGACACGCACAACCGCCCAAACACACGTGAAAGCCCACCGATACAAATGCGCGCCACCACCAAAAACGTTTCTTGACTTCGTCGCATGTGTTTTAAGTTCGCTGCACATATTAGCTACCAACTTGCAGTTATTTCTTCATCGCTCTAGAAGCCTTTACTCCGCTCCGCTTTGCCAGTGTGCAATAATTGTGTCGCAACACGCAGCGCCAGGGGAGGCCAGTTAAGAGACAGGGGGATGGAATAGCGGTCATCTCTCCTGGCAACATCACCCCTATGGCGTGGAAAGAAACGAGGTAAAAATCAAATTTGTCCCTCCCCCAAATGTCCACCGCGGCCCCGCCGCCAGCGACACAGCAAGCTGGTCATTAGCACGTCTGGGGTGTCAGTGCCTACCCGTGTACAGGGGCGGCGCCACGGATTCTCGGTTGGGCGGGCAGGTTTTTTCAGGGGACACCTCCTCTGGACGTCCTGGACAAAAGGGATTTTTCTCGCACGGGGCCTCCTGGGCAGTTTCGTATTCAATGGGAGGGGCACCGAAGGCATAAGCTCCCTCATCAAGTTGTTATATGTATCATAGTCAAACAAATAAATATTGACAGCTAAAAATCCGAAACTGGAGCCTTTTGATTTTTCAGCAAGCGGTTTCAGTGTCTCATCATTCTATAGCAGGCTTGTCTGTCCCAGAAAAGGCCTCCTGATGCATGAAGGAGCTTCCTGGTCCAGAGCAGGATGCCTCCGATCCGCGAAAGGGGCATCCAAATCTAGCCAGGGGGTTCGTTATCCCAAAACATGGCATCCTGGCTTAGAACCGCTGCCATATGATGCATGGAAAAAGTATCATCTTGTGTTTTTATCCGAACCTTTCAAATGGATGGATTTCTGGGATTAGAGCTCACGCCAAGCAATGGTGGTTGTGTGAGCCCTGGCCTCTACTATCTGATTGCGCAATTCCAGAGCAACGGAAGAATTTGGTGGGAAAGCTTTACGCGCCGAAATCTCTGACGTCAGCTGACCTTTAGGGCGGCGCTGCCACCAACCGCAGGTCATTACTGTCAAGGCCAAATAGCCTGCTTAACATGATATTGGGGCAATTAATCTAGATCGACTAATTACATACAACTAATTAGATAACCCACATAGACTAGCTTAACCATACAGGTGGCCCCATGATTCAGACAAGGACTCCTTCATGCAGAAGAGAGTCGGCTGAGCACGATGCATTACAGCCTAGCTTAGTTATGGGGCCTTTCTTGATCTGATTTTGGTAAGTTACACGTATCTACAATGCCACTAGTTTGGGAAAAGGGACCTCCAAAAATGTTTAAAGGGCAAAATCACACTCTTGCCCTCCTGCCTGACCAATAATGGGACTACCATTCTGCTCCCCCCCCCCCCCCTCCCGCCCTGCTGCGTCGTTCCAGCCTGTGTAGAATGCATGTACATACCACCACACCAGGCGAGCATGGTAATCCAATAATACGAATAGTATTCGTATCACAGATACGAATACTAATCATTCCGTAGGGACGAGAAGCGCTCTCACCCGTCACGCAATGACCTTTCGCTGGGTATCGTGAGGCAGGATCTCCACGGGCTCCAGGAGTCATTAAACGTAGGCTACTAAGTATCGATGAAATATGGACAATTATTCATTTAATACAGGGCTACAGTTTCCCATTCAGGGGGCTTAAGGTCTCTAACAGCTTGGGACCCAGTCCCTCTCCCCGTAAGGAAATTGAGAAGGAAGTGGGTCAAATCCAGGGAACATTTGTTTTTTGGCGTGTTTTGTAGGTGGGTTTCCTCATGTTAGCTATCTTGATCTTCCATGTTGGAGGGATCAGAGGTGGCGTAGCAGGGAGGGGGACAGAGTAGGCAGTAGACTTGCCTACTTGCCTTGCCTTGATATATACACTTGCCCGTAGACAAGTGGGACAAGATTATGTTTTCCCCATTTTTTCGGAGACCCCATTTACTCAAGCAAAGACATACGTCGATTACCGGAATTCTGCCGTCCAAAGGCAAAAAGGCCTAAGTGCAGTTCTATCTAATGGCGCATGGGCCTTTTTGCCTTTCGACGGCAGAATTCTGATCAAGGAATTTCTTATGGCTGAGCCGGAGAGTGTTTAATCGGGCTCAAAGGACTCTTTTCTGTCGCAAGAGACCCATTTTATCGATCATGACACCGCCTTTATGAATAAGTTTGCCCATACTTAAGCTCAGGAGACCCAATTTTGTGTTAAGGAGGCCCTTTACCCTCTCGGGAGGTAACCGTTACGAACCAGGAGGCCCTGTTATGAGCTAAGAGACCCCGTTTTCAAGTAAGTAGGATGATGTATATATATATATATATATATATATATATATATATATATATATATTATGCTACTCAGGAGGAGCGCACAGGCTCTAATGTTGCATTTATAGTGATGTATGACCTTGCTTTCTTTGAGCGGAGTCGTTGTGCTCTGGGAATGGATGTTAAGTTTGGCGCTGTCACCGGGATCCGTCGTTTGACTATTGCGATAGACAGTATCGTGCAGGCCTTTTTCGTCACCTTTGTAAGCAGGGGACATCACGCTTTTTAATGAACACGGGGTGCGTATTCCGATGTTTTGTACTTCGTTTCGATTTAAGGTATTGTGGCGTGGTCCGACTGATCTGATCTTCCAAAGTACGCACGTCACAATCGTTGTCGGCTTGGATTTGTCTGACTCGCCTTGTCAAACGATCTACACCATTTCGATCTACCATCTACGCGTATGGAGTCTTCGATAAAGTCTGTAAAAAATAATACCCGGCGAAGCACCTGAGTGTTTTTAGTATAGAAAGAGTTCGCTGAACCATTCTAAAAGAATAGCGCCGGTGGTTTATTCCATGAAGTCATTTAACGCCTGACAAAAACCTTGGTGTTATTTTATTTAGAGACTGTCGTGGACATTACAACTTCGTGGAATTGTGCTGAGGTGCACAGAGACACCAGTTGTGCCTTAACATCATCGTCATCTTATCCCAAAGAGTCTCATGTGTCAAACACTACAATCACCAGCGCTGTCCAATGTGTTCTACTACAAACATACTATTCCTAAGTAAAAACAAACATCGACTGCCGATGGCGCGACGGGCGCCGCACGGGTGCTGCGTTTGGAAAGTATTTTCGGCCAGTGATAGGGAATTTTTCAACGTCAAATCATCGTCAGTGCCCTCCGGAATCCATAAGTAGTCAGGCTGGCTAAGCGCGGGCGAGCTCCTTAAGTATCGATTATGCGTGCAGAAGGACAACTGCATGGTCACTGAGCATTCAGCTCAAGGGGCAACCCTGTTAGAACCGGCCTGCATCGCGGGTGGCATGGACATGACGGGCGTTTCGTTTGCTACACGTTCGAACTGAATCGGAGGGTGGCCACTCTGCGTTCAAAGGCAAAGCAGCCTGGAATAGTGTACCCAGTAGTACAGCTGGCTCTCAATGTATATTCATTGAAACGAGTGGGGAAGACATGTCCCTGGAGGGCATCCGCCTAAGCGTGATTGGGAAAGGTGATGTTCCATTAACTGACATAGTGCATGGAGGAGCAGATCTTTTACGTTAACACACATCCGGGTGGACTGCGGAACACTACACGTTTGGAATGAGGTCAGTTTTATCCCATAGTTCTTGAAGGTTAAAAGGACTAAGAGCACCAAATTCATAGAATAAGTTGGCTTGTAACTGAAACAACTGGTGTCATTTCCAAAATTTCTGGACGCTTCCGGTGAACACTCTCAGAACACTGTCTTCCAGTGGACACTTCCAGTGCAAGGTGGTTGTACTCAGCCGAATACAGTATATCTGCATATTATCATTTACCCTATGAGTAATTCGTCGCATGAGCAATTTGAAGAGTTTGAATAATAAAACCTGTTTTTGAAATGAAAGCAATCTAAGTCAGGCTCGGCTCGGGGGAGGGCAAAGGGATTTGCCCCCTCAAGGCTTTCAGAGCTTAGCGAAAAATGGTGGAGCGTGATGCATGACATTTTTGGCATCTTCATTCTTACTTACTCATACACCGTGTGCAAATGTCACTGTCTGAGATCATAATCGAGGTGAAACCTCAAACAAGTTGAAATCATCATAACTTGTTTAAAGATACAGTATTAACCGAGTCGGTAGCCGACTATGTGCTGCTCATTGGTGCGTTCATCTTATTGGATTTAATCAAACTACACCAACTTCCCACACGTCAGTCATTCGGTACTAAAACCGGATTTATTTAGAGTGGTCTTCAGTAGAGTGTCAGCGCCTAGAAAGTTCAAGTATGCGGCGGGTAACCACTGCTGCCAACACGACGATCAGAAAGCCATGAGTTTACAGGAGGCATTTCTGAACGGCTCTGATTTCCTGGAAAGGGGCTTACGAGGTATTACTCGTTAGGCTGGGCAAAACAGCTCAGTTTTCATGCACCAAAAGCGCCACACAGCACGTGCAATGCGTTTGCCTCGTTGTCACGATTCAGCGCCCTGAATCAGCAACAGACTGACAAACAACGAGCCTTGTTGTTCCCATGCTAGCAAAGTTTTGAAGAAGACAGTTTTCGTCTTCCTTTATTGAGTTGTTCTTGTGATGAGCCACGAAATGCTTGCTAGAGCTCTTTTAATAAATATACACGAGATTTTACTTTTTTTACGTTGCCCAAACGCCCTTCAGAGATAATTCTTCGCGACTACTACTTTGAGCATTTCTCAGAAAATGTTGCCTGCAACCGTCTGGGGGAGCCTTTTACGCGTTATCAAATACATCGACACGGTCATGCCATATAGAGGCGGAAACTTTCACCTCCCGCCAACTGGCATCTGCCATGTCAAGCAATCAGCTAACTCAGGAGCCCGACCACAGGTGCCTGCCTCATTCTGGAGTGGGGAGGCTGAACCACTCGGACATGACTGCAGGAACGGACATAAATATGGATATGCCTTAATATTTAGCTGCAACGACTAAGAGCCGCATGTTCGACACATGAGTTCGTGTATTAGTACTGTTTTATAAGATATAAAGATCACTGAACCACCGAACAG